TAAGAGGCACTCGAACTAACATAACAGTACACATCAGCATTCTCAACAAGTACAAAGACTGAAATACCCCTTCACTAACACCACTAACAGTTAGCATCTTTAATTTTTGAGAAAGAGTAACTTTCATTAAACCAAAAGAGAGGGAGGGGTGTACATGATCATGAGATGATGTACACAAAGAGGAGGTCTTAGCAACAAAAAGAACAAAAACTCACGATGCAGGTAAAATATTTGCACTATACAAAAAACCCCTTCCCGATCCTGATTCAGCCAGCCTCCAAGGCTTAGTCCCTTTCTTGTTAATTCAGCCAATCACATTCCTGGAATCTCCCACTAGAAGAGACTCCGCCTGGAGGGATTTAGCTATCTGGTGGCCTGTTAGTTGTGCTTGGACCTCAGCTTCTGAGGCATCAGCAGTGGTTGGTCCACTGAAGGCCCACAGGCTCCCACCAGGATTTAAAATGACTTCTCCAATTCCAGCAGCTGGTGGAGACTCATGATTTCTTCTTAGATTACTATCAAGAAGGTGGGTAAAAGCACTGTCTGGCCTTGGAGAGAGAGCAGATTGTAGGATTTCCAAGAGATTTCTGTCCAGATCACCATAGTAAATGCTTCTGAAGCTCCTATTAGTCAGCATCCAGTAGTTAAACAAAGCCAGGATACACCTTTTCAAAACCCTCTAGAGAACTGCACTTGTTTTCAAAATTTCTTTTGTTGTGCTCTTCCCAGATGCTCCACATGACAGCATAAAATACTGCAGTCCAATACACATTACTCCTCTTTCCCAGAGTTGGGAGCTTCCAGTGGAAGCTGTCTTCTCTAACTAGGTCAAGAAAAAATTGCCAGACTACAAGCCACCTTACAGTTGATAAGATGGTGACTATGGGTTAGCATCTGCTATCCATCCTTTTTGTGCCATGCAAGATTAATTACTATTCATTGAATGGTTGTCACTTGAATCTCAGGATACAATATATGAGTTAATGATAAAAAAATCTTATGATATCTAAGATTTTTTTTTGAAAAAGGTAATGTAATTTTATTAAGAGGAGACAAAGATTACAAAGCGCCCTATTCAGGAGGAACAGACCTGAACCAGGGGCCTAGGAACAGAATTACAATTTACAACTCAAATAAACTGTTTTTTCCTTGATATTTGTTTATTTGGCCACCGGATCAAAATTATATTAAAATGAGAAAAAATGAGAGATAAGTAATGGTACAAGGAAAAGGAACTGCAGGTGAAAGGATGATTACAGACCACTGGGTTGGCATTGGCAATCATACCTTCCATACCCTTTTAATACAAAAATACATAGGACCTAGTCCAGAATGGACAGGCCCCAAATTAATTCATTTTCCCCATCCACTTGTAGCTAGAGAATTTGCTAACTCATTGCAGATCTCCATACCCAATCAGATGTTCCTTCTTGCTGCTAGAGCTCTTGCTTATTTAAGACGAGGATAAAGAAACCAAGGGACTTCCTGTCCATCCAACATCCAGCCAATCATAACCATGTTAGTTCTCCTTGACCTCCAGTCTATTGTAGCCTAGGAAATGGATCAAGTGATGCCCCTGCACCAGTGGAGCCTCAAGGCCCCAAACAAATAATCCATTACCTGTTGGATTTGAATGGAGTGCAGCAGTCACCCCTCAAAGCTTCTCAATGCCCCGATATCCAAAGTTCCTTGAATATTCAAGTATCACCCATTAAATGGTTTGATATCTCCCTACAAGGGAGGGGACTAACCTGATGAATAATATATCTGGAAACTGATGATGAAGCCCCCAGTTGACTGCCCTCTAAGCAAGGCTCTAAGGCACCTTGACAGCATGTCTTGATCTGCACATTGTAGATGTCAACGGTTGACGATACTATGTGGTATCTTGTCCTGCACTCTCAATGTATTGCTAATCCATGCCAATTTTTTTTCATTGGTTGTGCTTCAATCATTCATATCATATTAGCACCCATATCTACATTGTAGACCAATGATTTATTTTCTCAAAAGTCAGTTGTCATCTTCCCACAGATGAGATGCAGCCTTAAACCAATGGAGTAACATTAGGTAATGTGTTCAATGGTATGGCTACTGCCCTATGGCCCTCATGTGAAACTCTGATCTCCACCCAGTTAGCCTGTCCTTTTGTGTATATGTCTATGAGTTAAGTGCCTTTGTTGATGTCTCAACTGGGGCTTGTCCAAAAAGAAGTTATCTGCATCAAAGGTTCTCTCTGCCATCTGCTCTGGGTACCTGTCAGTTACAAGTGACAGAGTGAGTACCTAGGAGTTCTTTCAATTTCTAGAAAAATTTCTTCTCAGTCTCAATACTTTTATTTTTTATTTTTTTCTTTTCTTTTCTTTTTTCCATAGATGGTGGTTAGATGGATACCCTTAAGAGAGTAATTAATCATGGTATGTCTTTTGTTGTCCTCTGCTGGTTACTGCCAAGTAATATCTGGTCCAAGCTTTTCAGTAATAAAATTGATAGAATGTGATTATGAGTCCTTATTTGCAGGCAGGACCAAATTCAAACTGCTTCTAGCTTGCCACAAAACAAATTTAAATGTTCTCCCCACCCACCCTTTTCTATTGATGGGCAGTAAGATCAAGAAAAGTTTAGTAGAAACAGAATTATATGAGTACAAAGAAAGATACTCGCATAATGGGACAACTGAGAGACTAGTACAAGAGCCCTATCTCATCTCAAACTATTGAAGTTTAGCTTGATGAACCAGCCATGGGGGGTAGGTGGGTGGGTAGAAGCGTAAAGTCTTAGCTGAAGTAGGATGTATATCATTTGCTTTCAGATGTGGTCTTTCCACCGTAACCATGTTCTCATGATGATATCATTTGCTTTCAGGTTGGAATACTTAAACGTGTTCTTGAGGAGGTGGAAAAAGTGATGAAAGAGTTCAAAGGCATGCTTTACAAGTCAATGGAAGATCCACAAATAGACCTAGCGGATGTAAGTTCTTATTCACTTTGTTTGTGTTTGTCTGCAGTATTTTGTCATTCTGAATCCAAATACATGTGAAGAAGCATTTGACATGAAGCATGCTTCATTTCTTGTTGAATGGGTAATTGTGTTATAATAAATATATAAGTTTGGGAATAATATTCATGGTTGTAAGGAGAACTGCAAATGGAATGGTTGATGTATTGGATAAACAGGCAGTTAATAGACCTAAGGTTGCATGGGCTATAAGCAGCCTTGCAATATGAGAAATGATGATGGTGTATCATCATCATCATACATGCCTTACCCCAACTATATGGGGTCAGCTACATGAATCCTGTTTCGCCATTCCGTTCTATTTAAAGCTATATCCACTGTTAAACTATTAGTGCTTAAATCATTTCTTACTACTTCTACCCATGCCCTTTATGGTCTACCCTGAGCTCTTCTAGCCCCTTCAATGTGTAGCAAATCACTTCTAATTGGCACAATTGTTGGTCTTCTATGCATGTGCCCAAACCATCTTAGTTTACTCTCTCTCATTTTATCACATATTGGAGCTACTCCTAGTTCCTAGGTTCTTATGGATAACTTCATTCCTAATCCTATCCTTTCTAGTTTTTCCACTCATCCATCTTAGCATTCACGTTTTTGCCACATTCATTTTCTGGACATGTTTTTTGACTGCCCAACACTTTGCTTCATACAACATAGCTGGCCTTACAACTGGTTTATAGAATTTTCCTTTTAATCTAAGTGGTATTCGCCTATCACACAAAAGTCTAGATGCACACCTCCATTTTTCCGATCATGCTCTAATTCTTTGGGTGTCATCCTCCTCAATCTCTCCCTTGTTATGAATTATTGAACCAAGGTATTGAAAATGGTCACATTGAATTATCTCTTGGTCTCCAATCCTAAGTGTATCTTGATTTACATTCCTATTATTACTAAATTTACATGTCATATACTCTGTTTTTTTTTGATAATTCATGTCATATACTTTGTTTTGGTCCTACTTATTTTAAAACCTCTTGTTTCTAAGGCATTTGTCCATAAACTTAATTTTGCATTTAATCCTTCATTAGTTTCATCAATTAAAACAATGTCATCCGCAAACAACATGCACCATGGAGCTTCCTCCTGAATATGTTTAGTTAATTCATCTATGATCAGTGCAAATAGATAACTATATTTTAAAACCTCCTGATGATGGTGATCCTGTCCATTATTCTTTAATATAGTTGAGCACATGGACATGCTTCCTAGAACCTTTCGTGCATGTTATTTAATATGGTCAATCACACTAACTGCATGCTGATGGGCATCCAGAGATTTGCCTGCGTTTCAAGAGGATCCTGAAACTGGTCCTTTATGATATTGAGATCTTTAAGAGGTATAAGAGGTGTGGGATCTATTTTATATACAAAGCTAAATTTTCATGTAAAAGTACGAACTTAAATAAAAGTAAGACTGGCTTTCATTCACAGGTTGGAAGTAAAGACATAGAGCAATTAAGTAAAGTCTTGTCAAAACTTGAAAGATTGGATAATGAAGGTGAAAGAAACATGTTTTCTTTCACTTTTTAGCACATGCATTTTGATCACAAGCACCGCAGGCTTCTCTATACCTAAATAAAAGTAAGACTAGCTTTCATTCACAGGTTGGAAGTAAAGGCATGGAGCAATTAACTAAAGTCTTGTGCAAACTTGAAAGATTGGATAATGAAGGTGAATGAAACATGTCTTCTTTCACTTTTTAGCACATGTCTTTTGATCACAAGCACCACAGACTTCTCCCTACTATATATCCCTAATTTTAGCACTTTGCCTGCCACTAGCTGCTCTGATCTGTGAAATAAGTGACACATAAGAATATAAATTGCAATATCAAATATCAATCCATCTTTATATTAATTATGTATTAGGAAGTTGTTTCAAAATTTTGGAATTTATGAACAATATAAGATAGGTATTGGAAAAGCTGACGGACCACTGCTTGGTGCATTGATAAAATCTTCAGGCTGACAAGCATGAAAGAACACACTCTGTAGTCTGATAGTGTCCACTTTTTGCAAAAAAAAAAGTTAAAAGTTAGGTCTGTATCCAGTCCAGCCCTCCCAAGACCCTGGATAGGCAGGACAAAATGGCTCTTTAGGTATTGGAAAATCTGGGAAAAATTGGTTGTACTCCATTTTACTGGTATCCTTCTGTTTAGTAGAGAGTCTTGACAGAAAACTTGTGAACTTTGCATGTATTATAGTTTGCATGATTCCATTTATATGAGTCACTAGTCTTATGCTTGGTAACTAGCAATGCATGCTTACTTCCATGAAGATCTTATACATCTATTATGGGCTAACCATCGTAACTTGTCTTCAAATCATTATCAGCTTGAAAACACTGTGAGACTGTTGTTGGAGTTGGATCCTGAGTCAGATCCAGTTTGGCATTATCTAAATATTCAGGTTAGCAGAACTATTATTGTTGGTGAGATCCATAACCAGGTCATATTATTGAAGTTTTTTTTTTTTTTTTTTTTTTTTGAAGGCACTTATCTATTTGCTTGCTGCATGGGGTTTAAATTCCTTAGTCTTTTGCACCACATATTTGGTTCTGGTTAAGTTACCTAGGTTTATCTTTTGCAGAATAACAGGATTCGGGGCTTGCTTGAACAATGCACCTTAGATCATGAAGCAAGAGTGGAAGCTTTGCGTAATGAGATCCGTGAGAAGGCACTTTCTGATGCAAAGTGGAAGAAAATCCAACAAGATTCAACCGAATCTGTAAGTGCACTTGTTGATCTTAAATTGTGTGGAGAAAAGCTAATCTATAGATCACCACGTCTAATTGCATTCAATGCTTAATGCACTTGATACTTGTCTTTTCTGTTATCATCAGTCAGATGTAGCCGATTCAAATATTGTTGGAGATGCTCATTTCTCAATAGATTCATTGTCGGTAGATTTGGCTGCTGAAGATGTGGATGCACTGAGAGGAAGGTATATCCGCAGGTTAACTGCTGTTCTTATTCATCATATACCTGCCTTTTGGAAAGTAGCAGTTTCTGTCTTCAGTGGGAAATTCGCAAAGGTATTTCCAATTCTTAAACATAAACCCTCTAGCATATCAAATATGAATATTTAATACAATGCTGCTTCAAAGATCTTGAAATTGCATTTCAGGATACATTCATTTAAGTTTGTTAGTTCGTTGTCATTAAAGCTTTATGACTTATCCTTGTTTCCTTGTAGCTTATAGTTGCATCTCTTTGCTCCAAAACATGGCAAAATGTAGGATTCTAGACTGCAAATTTGTACCTTGGATACCAGTGTTTTCTCTAATTGTGGGAAAACTATCATACTTCTCTTTTCTGGAGAACAATTGGGGATTACCACAACAGATATATTTCTCTTTTTCTTAATCTCTTTCAACTTGACCTAGCCAGTGCTCCCTTAAGTTTCATTGTCATGTGACAGCAAGAACCCCTGTTCAGTTAGCTGCCAATTTATCAACAAACGAGATAGCCTCATTTTTGTTGTTGCTACTTGCTACTGCTATCATGTATCACTCGTGCTATTGCGGCCAATTTATCAACAAACTCTTGGCTTTTGTTCTGGACTTTAGTATGCATGGTTGCAACTACTACCACCTTAAAACCATTAGGACTTGAAAGCCAAAAATTAATTGACTGTTAGATTCTGTAAAATTTGCAGTTAGCAAAGCATTAATTAAAAACATTTCCACCTGTCACTGAGGTTGGAAGTGGTTTAGATCTGTAGAGAAACTCCATTACCGTTTCTATTATACATACTTAAAAATGACTATACTGCATATAGTTTGATACACATTTATTATTTATAAAATTATTCTGTTACTGATTAAACAAAATCTGTAGAGAAACTCAATGTGTTGGGGATGGAATCAGGGTGATCATGGGCTAGGCTTCTGGGCTTATGACTTTAAATACAAAACGTTAGATATATATGATATTTTATATTATATGACACCTAGTATGTGCATAAAATTTATGTCGTACCTTATTTATATAATACAAATTGCAATATAAAATAACACAGACACATACATACAAAAGTACAAAACCTAGGGCTAAGCCTGGAAATTTCTGGGCCGAGCTACAAATGGTCGCCCCTAGAGCGGATGAAGGAGCAACTGTGTAAATTTCCTTAGTTGATTTCCTATTTGAATTAATAGAATGATTGAGTGGGCTGATTAGGTTAATCTATTCTTTCTCTCCAAATCTCCAATATCTTTTCTTCTCTATTTTCCCCTTCTTCTTTATCCATTTTCTTCAATCTGGTTTGCAACTAAATCACCAATTCACCATTAATAGTTGATGTTGATGTCTGAACAACTTCAGGCCTGGTTGGATAGAAATTGACCAGGGATGATATAGTGATTACTGGTGATAAAGAGACTTCAGGAAATTCATATTAACTCTTTTTTTTTTTTTCCTTTTCTGAGAGTCTATTTGTAAATAGCTAATTTTTTTATGTTTCTTTTTATATATTCCTATTGTACAAGGCCTTGGTGTACATGGGTGCTGATGTATTCCTTTGGATGAATTTGTACATGAATATAATACCTATTAAGAAATTATAATGCTGTCTCTCATCATCGCAGTGCTAGAGATGTTATAGAAATGGAGAGGGAGGTGTATTGATCATTAAGGGTTGGGGTATTCATGATCATGTGGTGATCTGGGGTGTTTGGGAAGAAATGAATAATTACACATTTGATAATAAGGCCAGGTCTCAGGAAGACTTGGTTTCACACACTACTCATAGCCAAGGATCAAATTATCAATGCGATATCAGTGACCATGGAAACACATGGATACACCAATACAAATAGTGTTGGGAGGTTTTGAAAGTTTGGGAGCAAAAGGTAACCCTCTCATGCATTGAAAATAAATAAAATAAAAAAACCAAGAGTGTTTTTTTTTGAAAGAAGGTAAAGTATGATTATATTAATAACTGGTCCTTTGTACAACGAGAATCTGTACAAAAAAGGACCTAAAAAAAGGTCCACTCTCAAAAAAGTATGATCAGAAGTAACATCTTTGAAATTAGAATGTATTGACAACCAGCTCCTAATGACATCTATGGCTAAATTAATGACCTCGGCTTCAGAAGAGGATTTCTTCTCAAACAGCCTTGTATTTCTTTCTGACCACACAAAAGCCCATAGCACTTCTGGAGGGACAGAAGCCCAGCAAAGTCTCCCTTTTTTTGGAAAGTCCAGAAATCTTCCATTCTTCCAAAAGAGCTTTAACTGATGCTGACATGCACCAGTTCAGATTCAGGGATTTCAAAAAGTGGCTCCATACTGTAGTGCTAAGCTTACAATATAGGCAGAGATGTCCAACTGACTCCACCTCCTCATTACATAGACAGCACCTGATATCTGGAATGCTCGTTCTTTTTTTTATCAACATTTCCTTAGACAAACATCTCTCCAAAGCTGCAACCCAAACAAAGAACTTAATTTTTGTAGGAGCTAGATTCCCCCAAATGGCCTGACTAGGAAAAGGAGATTCAGTCCTCACTAGCTTATAATAGAAGGATTTAACTGTGAAAACTCCAGTTTTGGTCCCTTTCCAGATTTTTTGTGTCTTGGGAATGGAGATTTAGTTGCTGGCTTTGTAACAGAGAGAGAAGGTCAGCAACCTGCTGAATTTCCCAGTCATTGAAACTCCTAAATGAGGGAGTCCAACACATGCTATTCTCCTGAAATCTGAATGTGTCTGCCACTAAGGCTTCTTTGTCTAAGGCCACATTGTACAAGTCAGGAAACATCTCCTTTAGGGGCCTGTCACCAATCCAGTGGTGTGACCAGAATTTCACTTTTCTTCGATCTCCCACTTTAAAACTGATGCAGTCGGAGAACTTTCTAGCTGCCTTACAAATTCCTTTCCATACTCCACAACCATAGGTTTGAGGGGGTGGTCCAGCATCCCACCCATTGTTCCTTAGGCCATACTTCTCTATTACTTTTCTCCAGAGATTATTTGGTTCAGTTGAGAATCTCCACAGCCAACTTCCCAATAAAGCTATGTTGAACAACTTCAAATGTCTTAACCCTAAATCACCTTGTGATTGAGGTTTGCAGATTTGATCCCAGCTCACTAAATGATACTTGTGAGTCTCTTTCCAGCCTTTCCAAAGAAAGTTTCTCATCTTTTTCTCCATTTTCTTTGCCACCTCCGATGGGATAGCAAAAAGTGTCATAAGGTAAGTTGGAAGACTAGCTAACACACTTTTGGTTAGTGTGACCTTTCCACCTTTAGAGAGGTACCTTGACTTCCAAGTTGACAATTTTTGATCCATCCTTTTTAGAACTGTTCACCAAATAGCTTTGGAAGTACATTTAGCTCCAAGGGGCAGACCCAAGTAACTTGAGGGCAGGCTTCCCACTTTGCATCCCAATAACTCAGCCAAATCATGAATATTAGGGACTTCCCCCACAGCTATTATTTCACTTTTTGTCAAATTCACCTTCAGGCCTGAAATAATCTCAAACCAGAACAGTAGATATTTCAGGTTTATAATTTGATCCTCTGAAGCATTGCAGAAAAGGAGTGTATCATCTGCGTATTGTAACATGGGGATTTTGGTCCCATTAGGCCTTACTTCAAAACTGTCTAGAAACTCCAAATCTGAATCCCTTCCCACCAGTTTACTTAGGCCTTTCATCACAATTAGAAAAGGCAGGGGTGATAACGGGTCTCCCTGTCTCATCCCTCTTGAGCTTGTGAAGTTTCCTTTTACTGACCCATTTATTATTAATGAAAACCTTGAGGTTGAGATGCGGACTTTAATCCAGCTCCTCCATTTTGAACCAAAATGCATCCTATCCAGCATATAGTATAAGAATGCCCAATTAACATGATCGTAGGCTTTTTCTAAGTCAATTTTGCCAATCAGCCCTTTCCTCCCACTTCTTAACCTGGAGTCAATTAATTTATTTGCAATAAGAACTCCATCATGAATTTGTTTATTATGAACAAAGGCACCTTGGTGAGGTGAAATCAGAGATTCCATCACAGCTCTTAGCCTTGTTGCCAGTACTTTGGCTAGGATTTTGTATACACTACCAATCAGGCTTAATGGCCTAAAATCCTTCATCTCTTTAGCTCCGCTTTTCTTAGAGATCAGAGATAGGAAAGTGGCATTCAGACTTCTCTCTAAAGCAGCCGATTCATAAAACTCCTCCAAAACTTTCAACAGTTCTATTTTAATTAGTTCCCAGAATTTCTTGTAGAAAAGGATAGTAAATCCATCTGGTCCAGGGGCTTTTTCCCCTTCCAAACTGTCAATAGCCTCCTTAACTTCTCTTTCTGAGAAAGGTTTTTCTAGATCCTTGGCCTGCTGATCCGTGAGGGTGTCAAACTGAATACCATTCGGCTTTGGTCTTCGTTTGCAAGGTTCACTGAAAAGATTTTTGAAGAAGAATTCACAAGTTTCAGCAATTTCTTTTTCTTGAGATACAGTCTTATCTCCTACCTCTAGCTGGTTTATGGAATTTAGCCTTCTTCTAGCATTAGCTAACTTGTGAAAGAAAGCTGAATTGCTATCTCCTGCTTTTAGCCACATAGCCCTTGACCTTTGTCTCCATTTAATTTCATTTTGGTAAGCTAAGGATTCATAATCCTTCTTTGCCCCTGCCCTTCTCCTTCTCTTCTCCTCATCCAAAGGTCCAGTTTCCTCCTCTGCATCCAAATCAGCAACTAATTTCAAGAAAAAAGTCCTTTTTCTCCTCATCTTTCCTTGATCTTTCTTTCTGCCACTGTTTTAGTTTAGCTTTCAGCCACTGGAGTTTTTTAAAAAACACATGGCTGGCTGTGCCTTTGAAGAAACTTTCAGCCCACCATTGCTGGATATTGGAAACCAGCTCCTCTGATTCCAGCCAACAGTGTTCAAGTCTAAAGGGGGGTGAAAATTTTCTCAAACCACCCGTGTCTAATAGAAGTGGAATGTGGTCAGAAACAAATCTTGGAAGGGCTTCCTGCTTTGAGTTGGGGAAGGCATCTTCCCAATCAGTAGAGATCAAGAATCCGTCTAGTCTTACCA